CCATTTGTTTATGCATTCATCAGTGGGTGGACATTTGAGTTATTTCCATTTTTTGGTTATATGAATAATACTGCTTGGAACCTTCACATATGAGTCTTTGTGTGGATATATATATTTTTTTATTTTTCGTGGGTGTAGACCTAGGAATGGGAATTGTTGGGAGAAATAGTAGCTCTATGTTTAACTGTTTGAGAAACTGCCAGAACGTTCTCCACAATTTCTGTACCATACTACATTCCCACCAGCGCTCTATGTGCGTTCTGATTTCTCCACATCCTCAATAATACTTGTCATTTTTCACCTCTTTTGTTCTAGTCAAACTAGTGAATAGGAAGTAGTGTCATATTGTGGTTTTCATTTGGATTTCCCTTAGGGTTACTGTTGCCAAGCAGCTTTTCATGTGCTCCTTGGTCATCTGTACATCTTCTTAGAGAAATGCCTGTTCAGATCTTGTGAATGGGTAGGAATTTTATCAGACAGATTGGGGCCAGACTGAACCTGTAGTGGGGCAAGACTAAAACAGAGTCATAGATTTGAGACGTGGTTCCCCCAACGTCTAGCTGTGTGATTTCTGGGTTTCTAAAACTGTTAGCCTGCTTTCAGAATTTTAAATTGGGATAAAAATAACATGAGGTCATTGCGTGGCTGAAATGAGAAAACGCACATGTAGAACTCAGTGGAGTACCTGCTACACTGCAAGCACACAATCAACGGGAGCTATTTTCGTGATTTGTAAAAGGTAACCACATGATAGGAACTGGGTTTCAGGAAGAATAATCTGGCCATGTTATTATATTAAGTAGCTTAAAGAGATATTGCAGACAGTGGCATCAGTTCAGAGAAGACCCACCAGTTTAAGCAAAAAGCAAATGAAATGAGAAAAGTATGTTTTCTGGCCTTTCCTATTACAGATAGGTTTTCCTCCAGTCTACAGCCTGAGCAGCCCGAGAAGGAAGTGGTCCTGTGGCTTTTCCAGGTAGATCAAAGATATTTCACTGTATCTTCATGGATTAGTGGGTTCATTAATTAACTAGCTAATTAATTAATTAATAACTCACTAATCCATGGGGAAATAGGGATGAATATGTTTTGGATATTTTGATTAACACTTCATAATAACCTGAAGAATTTTAAATGTGTTTATTAACTCTGCTTCTCTGGAGAGAGATGACATATAAGGCTTTAGTAATTTAAGGGTCATTTATATTATCAGTGAAAACATAGCTGATCCAATGCCTGCTCGTGCATTCAATGCCACACATACCTATAGAGCAATGTCATGTGCTAGGCACTGTTCTGGGCACCGGGTCTAGAGTGATGAACACAAAGTCTTTGCACTCAGAGAGTTCATATCCTAACAAGGTGAAATATTAATAATCTATTCATTCAACACACAGTTATTGAGTACCTACTGTGTACGCAGGATGCATTGGTGAACAAAACAAGCAAAAATCCTTGTTCTCATAGAGCTTACATTCTAATGGGAAGATACAGACAGGAAACCACAAACAAAATAAATAAGGAAACTCTATAGTTTGTTAGAAGGTGGTAACTGCCATTGAAAATTAAAGCAGTGAAGAGAGGGTGGGGATCAGGAGCTGGAATCACAACTTTTAGATAAGTGACCAAGGTTGGCCACATTGAGTGAGAAATGGAAGGAACTGAGAGATTGAGCTATATGGATATCTGAGGGAAGAGAATGTACCAGGCAGATGGAACAGCAAGTGCAAGGGGCCTGAGTTAGGAGCATTCCTGTTAGTAATAAGGACAACAAAAAGCGAAGTGAGCAAAGGAAAAAGTAGACATCAGCAGAAGAGTGGCGATGGGATAGATCAGAGATACCATATAGGGCCTTTTCCAGGGGAGAGGCAGCCATTCATTTCTGAAAGAAACAAATCAAAAGTGCTGATTATATTGCTTGCTAAGCAAAGGACCGCTGCATTGTAAGGCAGTCTTTGAACAAAGGAATCTGTGGCCTTACATAGTGTTTTGGGAAGCATGAGTTCAGAGATTCACACTTTTAGAAGCTGGACGTTCAGGGATGAGCTGACCTTTAGCTAAAGAAGCAGGATTACTGGACTGTGGCTGTGGCCGATTGGCTGGCTTTCTGAAGCAAGGAGCTGTCACCGAGCTCGAGGTTGTCACTGATGAAAAGAGATTCTGGTTGGTTGTACTATGACCAAAGGACAATTGGTCTTTCCTTTGTTCAACTTGGAATGAACAAACTTGTCAGTCTCTGCTTTGCAAGGTCACTGTGAAGTATATGGGAGTGAAGAGAATGTTACCTTCACATGAGGTGCTATGACTAGATGACATTATAGAGTAACTAGGGGTGGGGGTCTACTTTAGGAAGGGGTGAGGGAAAGCCTCTTTGAAGAGGTGAGATGTCAAAGATGAAAAGTTGCCAGTTAAGATCTACAAGGCAAGAGCCGTGTGTGTGTGTGTGTGTGTGTGTGTGTGTCAGAGCCAAGACTAGTGTGTGTAGAAGGTGAAAGGGGGTAGGGGAAGAGGCGGAAGTTGGAGAGGGGCAAAGAGAAAAGCAGAGGCCAGATCCTTCCAGGCACTGAGTGCACAGAATGGATTGAGAAGATAGGGGCAAGAATAGAATCAGGAAGCTGGCAGCAGGGACTATTCTATACTAGACACTGTCATTGTGGAAATTCTATGAGGCCTCATTAAAGTAATAAAGTAAAATCCAACCGGGAAGTCTTCACTATGCTTTGTTGTTTGCCGATTTATGACTCTTATAAACAATGGTGTAAGTTAAGGGGCAGCGTGTGGACTAGTAAAAGATACAGTCACCTGTCCTCTGACCTTTAATGAAAAGTCTAGATTACTCTGGAAGCAATAAAACATCTGAACAGCAAAAAAAAAAAAAAAAAAAAGGAAAAACTAGATTAGTCTAGATACTGTCTTTTCCATGACTAAACTGTGGTACACGTCTCTTGCCATGTGATTATGAAAAATGGTTAACGTTAACCGGGGGGCTTCCTGAATGCAGGTATAAAAGGCACAGAGAACCCAGGCTGTCAAGAGGGCGGGACCTGGGATTCAGCAGCTGAGGGGTGTGGCATGGGTCGCCTGTCTTCTAGAGTTAGCTGCCAGGGGTAAGGAGAGGGCTTTATCCACCTCTGCAGCCCAGGGCTCCCAGCACAGCGCCTGGTCAACAGTGGGAGCTGAATAACCCTCTTGTCGAATCTGAATTAAACATGTCAGTTAGATCAACGGTACTGAAATGACAGCGTGTTAACTCAGCGAAAGCAGTCATCTTGCATCTCTTGGTTCATCATCCAGTGTGTGGATTAGTCATGCTTCTCTCAATCCTACTACTTCCTTTTTTATATTTCACCTCTTTGAGCACATCATTTCACTCTGAAAACTCCACTGATAGGGGAAATCATAGAGACAGAGAGGAGTGCAATGCAGGCCAATTTTACTCCTTTTTAGCAAATAACACTTTTAAAAAGTTTGATGGAGGTCGAAATTCATATCATATAAAGATCTTAAGATGATGGGCCAATTTGTGTGTGTGGGGGGGAGGGGAGCTTTCTTTGTGCATTTTCTTTACTTCCAAACAATCCTAAGAAGAATCTAGTACTACGCCCATTAGCGAGGCGGAAACCGTCGCGCGGAGACGTGACGAACTCCAGCCAGGGTCACAAGCCAGGGCCAGGTGGACACGGAATTCAAATCAAGTTGATTCCACAACGGATGGCATCGCTGCTTACTCCTCTTGGAATAACTTGGAGGCTTTCGCTTGTCTTCGCTTCCTTATTTGCTCTTGAAATGTTAAAATATGCAGAGAAACAGTAGGAGCTCTATAAATAAAACATGCCTATATATTTTTAAATGATTAAAGCTGGAAAGTTTAATGTGGCACCAGGCCACTTGTTTTGTTGAAGTAAAGGGAACGCGATTCCCGGCTCCCGCGGCAGAACTCCTGCCGCCCTTCGCAGGGAGCGGGGTTTGGCTCCCGGCCCACCCGTGATGGTCGCAGCGCAGGCAAGTCCGACCCAGACTGCAGTCAGGGAGGGACGGCGGGGGAGCGGGGCTGCGGGAGCCAGAAAGGGCCATGGATCCTCGCGGCCCAAGTACTCGTCGGCTGGGGAAAGCTACTTGTCAGGTAGCAACTATTGGGGGTGCAGGGGTGCGGGGCGGGGGTGGGGGAGACAGGAAATGCAACATTTGCAATTCAGGGTTCAGGCTGGCTAGACTGACCAACCTGTTAAACCTGAAAGAGAGGGTTGTGTCTTTAGATGAAATCTGAACAACCAACACCCGAGCTCAGTTGACCGAGAGGGAGCCTTTGTGCCTTTGGGAACGCTTACAGGCACCCAGGGAAAACACGAGGTGCTGAAGGCATTCCAGAAGGCGGCTGTTCTTCAAAGCCACCCGGTAGCTCGAGTGTGGCCCTGGCGCGCGGTTTCTGCCCTTGGTTTCCCCTTCTTAAAAAATCGAGGCGCAGGCACGCTGCCCTCAGGCGGGTGAGGCACTTCCACGTGGGGGAGGGAGGGGACAGGCCGGGGAGGGAAGCAGAGGCCCGGGAAAACACCGTGGGAAGAAAGCCCGCATAGACCTCAGGAGCGTGCCCGGGTGCCGGCCCCGGGAAGCCCCGCGGAGCTCGGAGGCCGCCGGCCGGTGCAGCGCAGCCTCTGCAGGCGCCCAGCCGCCTCGGCCCGCGGCGCGCTCCGCAGGCTCCCGCCGCTGCGGCCGCTCCGCGCCCCGGGCGGAGTGGGGCCGGGGCGGGGCCGCGGCCGGGGGCGGGGCCGGGGGCGGGGCCGCGGCGGGCGGGCGCGCGGGAGGCGCGGAGGGAGGGTGTCGCGCCGAGGGAAGCGGCCCGCGGCGGAGGGAGGGGAGGCCGAGTCCTGGAAGCGGAGCTCCGCGCTGGGACTGGTTCCTTCGCAGCCATTTTCTGTCCAACCAAACAGCCGATTGGAGACGGGAGCCAACCAGGGCTGCATTGGAGGTTTGTGTCTCGCTTCGGCCAATGATCGCTCCTAAACCGACTCCACTTTAGCTCGAATGAAATGTCCGTCTCCTCCCGGCGCCGTCCCCGCCGCCAACGCCGCCGCGGCCGGGGCCACTCGCCTCCCTCCCGCCCGCCCTCCCGCCCGGGCCGGGGCCGGGGGCCGGGGCCGGGCCGGCGCCTGCGAGGCCGCTCCCGCTGCGGGCCCGGCCGGGGAGCGGGCGCGGGGCCGCGGCGCGGCTCTTTGTGCGCCCGGCCGAGCAGCGGCGGGACGCGGGCCAGGCCGCCTCCTGCTCGCCGCCGCCGCCGCCGCCGAGCTCCGGGCCCGAGGCCGAGGAGGGGGCGTCGGGGCACCGGCCGGCCCCCTCTCGGCGGCGCCCCGGCCGGCTCCATTTTGTGCGGGGAGCCGGGCGGGGGCACTGGCCCGGCCCCCGGCCCCGACCCCGCGCCCTTGGCCGGGCTGCCGCGCGGAGTCCCCGGGGGCGCCCCCCTCCCGCCTGCCCGTGGCCGGCGGGGGCATGGCGGGGCCGGGCCGCTTTGTCTGCCCTGGCGCCCGGGCGCGGCGGGCGGGCGGGCGGGCAGGCGTTGGGCGCGGGCCCGGGCCCTGGGCGGGCGAGTCGGGGGATGCGCGCCAGGGGCGGCCGCCCCTCGCCGGCGGGACTGACAGTCGGCCGCGCGGGGCGGTGGGGCCGGGGCCAGCCAGCGCACCTTCGTGGGGAGGAAGCGAGGTCCCCGGGAGGAAGGAGTGGATTTGGTTTCCCCGCAGTCTGGTTTACACGTAAAGAATGCAGCCATCTGGCGGCTTGCGGTCCCTGGACTTGCCCCGAAGGTGGGAAGGAAGCCTTTCGGATTGGACTAAGGTTTTAATCTTCGGTGGGAGGCGGGGAGGATCTGCCGGGCCTGAGGAGCAGTAGTCTCCGAGAACAAAGAATTAGAGAGCACCCACAAGTCGTAATCTTGCCCAAAGTACTGTAACAAGGTAATTTAAACAAGGTTAGCTGGCACACGACCTTAAAAAAAAAAAAAAAATTAGCATCCCACTAGCCCGCATGGACTCCACGATGCCCTGGTTCGTGCCCCGAATCACTGGGGGCGGTTTGGGCTTTCTTAGTATGGAAAGTAATCTGCAAAATAAAGTGATAACATAAACTGGTTGATATACGTGGCGCTAATAAATAGGGGTTTTATTTGTAAAGTATTGAAAGTTTAACTAGAATTCCTTAAAAGGCAATTATTCCTTCCCCGCACTGCTCCTGTAGCTTAATTTAAGGATTCTATTGATGCAAAACTCTGGTTGTTGATGCCAAAGAATAGAGGGTGGAGGAAGGGTCTGTGCTTTTCTTGGATACAAATTTGCATTTCTTCAAACATTAAACAGATGTATGCATTCCCTTGAGCTTTCACATATATCATAACCTGCCTTTAGGAAAATATATACCATAGGAGGTGACAGTGTTTATCTTTAATATATTGAATCTAAATATATACGGAGTCAACTATTTGGGGGAGTGTGATGAGGTGTGTCCCCAGCCCCCCCACCCCCAACCAAAATAAGTAAATATATATAGCTCCATTATCTTAAGTGTTCTGAGGATTTTCTTTTTCAAAGACACCCTTAAAAAAACGCTTCTAGCTACAAGGAAGGAATCTCTGGGCAGTTTGGGGGTTAGAAAGAGGACAATCTTTAAGAAGAAATTAGACGTTGCTTTTAAGATTATAGCGGAGTAGACAATGTCACCCAGTCTTTGCTGCCTGGACTGACATTTAAAGAATTCAGTTCAGTGGCTACAATTTTTTCTTCTGTTTACTAGATTTCATGCTTGGATGCATATCATTATTTTCTCTTCCTTTAAAATTAACACTGATAGGATATGTTTTTGTTTTGCCCCTCCCCCCCAATTTAATTGCTTCACTTGAAAAAAGGAAAAGAACAAATGAGAAATGGAGGTTGTAACATTGTCATTGATACCAATTTATTCAGCTATTTATGCCTTACAGTGAAAATGAAGTGCTATTCAGATGCAATTTTCGTCCAAAATGGTGGTGCTTTAAAATGATAAATAAAGGTCTTAATTGATCATGTTCCATGTATGTTTTCTGGGCAGCATGTTTCTTCTTTTCAGTATAATCTGAGGTGTCTAATTTAAAAGCATTGTATTCCGAAATATTTCTCTCCCCTTCTGAGTTTTTGGACTCCTAAATCTCACTCTAAAATATTCAGAAGGTCATCACCGCAAAATTAAGTTGGGGTATTTGTGTCTTGAGTGTTCATATGTTGAATGATTTAGATGTGTAAATTTTGGTCTCTAGCATATAATCTGGAGTGTTGTGATGAATATTTATGATGAACATGACGAGATTCAGGGTTATGTTGGAAAAGCAGTTCCTCCCTGCTATAGAATTAACTTTTTTGCAAAGTCTCCAAAAGATATCTGCCAGTTCAAGAAACCTTTATTGGACGCCTGCTTTTTTGTCCTCAATTGAATAAGAAGAGTAGGTGAAATTATACATGCCTTTTAAACTTTTACTAGGAAGAAAGCCTGTAGGCTATATGGTGTTACTAATAGATGTTTATCTTCTAGGTTGAAATTGGGCAAAGATTAGACACCTTTTAGGTGTTTCTGAACACCACTGACAACACGGTTCTGACAGTATTTCATGACAGTAAGTACGTTTTACCATTTTGCTTGTTGATTAGATTTGAACAGTAAGTAGCTGGACACAAAATTATAACGAGTGTATATTGGAAGTCCCAGCTAGAATGAATGCCTTTCAAGCCTACACAGACGGTACCTACTCATTCCTGTTGCTTCCTTCTTTTTAGTGACTTGCATGTATTGTTTCCTGTGGGCCCCTAAGTGCTGTGGAGGCTACAAGATAAAAAGCTTGTCCCAGCTCTTAAGAGGCTGTTCTGCTGGAAGGGCTTTAATGGCACTGGATGCTTAGAGGACATTATGCTGGGAAAAGAAAATGCTGGTTCTGAGGGGAGCACAGGTGAAAGGCAGAGGTGGGGCTGGGAGTGCCGGGGACTAAGCAGAGTTTGCATAGGGAGAGGGCATCACCATAAGCAGAAGCCTAAAGGCAGGGATGAGTAACTTGTGTTTGGGGGGGAGGGGGGGGAAGTAGACCTGCGTGGTCCAAGCAGGGATCTCCTCGGATAATCTAGGGAGAGATACTACGTCTGTGATGTCAGGCACGTCACAGCTTCCTTGAGCCGTGACTCATGCCTCACTCCTCAGCTAAAAGAGCTGTACCTGCTGATCCTTAAATAAGGCATATTCTAGCGCTAAGATTTTTATCAGCCCTGAAGATAGAGATGGGAACAAGTTTACTGGGGGATCCACTCATGTAAAGCCATGAAAAACTAGGTTCGATTTGATGCTGAAGACTTTTAAAACCATTATAGGTTCAAGAGCTATAGACACGGTGTTTTAGTGAGACGGGTCTTAAAACAGGATGGCCCCAGATACGTTGGGTAGTAATCCGATGGCTACAGAACAAGGAAGGGCACATCCAAAAAACTTACTAAAAGAGGTAACAGTTTAGGTAGAACTTGGAGGAGACTGAAGAACGAAGGCGTCGCGTGTAATGAGCCTGGAGTGGGATTGAAGTCATTGAAAACAAGATCTAGGAGCTCCTGTCCATTGCCCCGTTGCAGGACGCGGGGAGGACGCGTTTCATTTTCTAAACTCTTAACTTGGCAGTGATGGGGTATCAGACAAGTTCTCCAGGCACGGCCCGCCGGAGTGGCAGGCAGGATATGGTGGTAGATTAGGATTTCTAAGCATAGAAGTGACATTTAACGAGTTTGTGAAGAGAGCAAGGGAAGAGACAAAACATAACCTGGAATGAAAGTGACAGTTGGGGAGGCACAAATAAGCTGGGAGCGAGAGGACAATTCCGTGTGTACGCGTGGGGTCCGCAGTGGCCGAGACTACTAACAACAGGCAAATAGGATGAAGGCAAGACTGTTGGCAACCTTTTTTTTTTTTTTTTAAAGTTTATTTTAGAGAGAGGGGCAGGGGGAGGGCCAGAGAGAGAGGAGAGAGAGTCCCAAGCAGGCCCCGCCCTGACCTGAGCTGAAATCGCTCAACCCACCGAGCCACCCAGGCGCCCCTGATGATTGGCACCTTTTAAGAGCAGCTTCAGTGTCATGGTGGGCTGGAGAAGCACCTGCCGGGGGGGTTAGGCGTGAAGAGGTGTATGCGGACCGTCAGGGGTTGAATGGCAGCTAGGGGCGTGGAGCAGAATCCTGTTTCTGGTCTGTGTGTACGTGTGTGTTCAGTGGGGGAGACTAAGCGTGTTTAAGGAAGAGTGAGGAGGCTGCTCAGGGAGGACTGGTGGCCCGTTAGCGGTGAGGAATCTTCTGGTCATTTCTTATCCTCAAGAAGTGAAAAAGGCATTGGTCCAGAGGACAGGTGCAAGGGCTTGTGTGAGAGAGGAAGCCATGCCTAGAAAGAATGGTGAGAGCTGTATCCGAAGGGGCAAAAATAATACTAGGTTACGTCTGTTGAGTTCTTAGTACGTATCATGCACTTTGCTAAGTACTTTTTATATAATAACTTCACTTCTGGTAGCAACTCCGTTTAAAACACGGGCAACTGGAAGCACAAAGAGGGTAATGAGTAAAGACACAGCAGGCGGGGAGCCCAGCCTCAGACTCAGTGGTCTGTGCTAGAGATCAGGTGTATCCTGATCACAGACCCAAGAGTGGGTGCATGGCTTACCTCTCACAGATTCTATCCTGGTTCGAGAAGCAGCTTCAGTAGCTTGAATGCACAAGGTCAGTAGACCCAGAATTTAGAGGGCAAAGTAAGGATGTAGGCTAATGGACTATGGGAAAACCCAGTAGGAATAAATACTGTAAAGTACTCGGCACCTGAGATTCTGGATTTAACTCCCATTTACTGTGCTGCCTTGGGCAAGTCATTAGCCTTATATGACCTCAATTTCCTCATCCGTTTCATGGGGTTGTGAACACCGCATGAGATATTTAGAAAGTGTTCAATAACTGGGAAAGGTTAAGGAGGTAACTGTTCCCCGCATTTGTGCAAATTATTAATATAATTTAAGTGCTGCTGTATCACAAAATTATAGAATGAAAATGTATTAGCCAGCTGACTGTTTCACATAATATTCAAGGGAACAATATCAGTTCAACTAAGTAATTAGAATAGTAGATAAAATTAATTGGATGGAGGGGCGCCGGGGTGGCTTAGTTGGTTAAACGTTGGCTCACGTCATGATCTCACGGTGCTTGGCATAGAGCCCTGCTCTGGGCTCCGTGCTGACGGCGCAGAGCCTGCTTGGGATTCTCTCTCCCCCTCTCTCTTTGCCCCTCCCCACTTGTGCGCTCGCGCGCGCTCTCAAATAAACATGAAGGAAATTTAATTTGATGGGATTGAACTACTCCGTCTGTATTTATTACTGCTTTTAGATGTGATGATTCGCCGTTTTACCCTCCGTCTTGTCTCTCTCCTACATGCTCTTCCCTCTCCACTGTCTGCATAAAACCCAACACGTGAGCCTCGCTGTTCTTGCAGCAGATACACAGTGCCGCGACTGCACATACTGGTACCGCCGCACAGTCGCGGTCACCAGCCACAGCACGGCGCGTCTCCCTGCCCAGCGCTCCCACTCCCCACCCTCGCCACTGCCTGTCCCCCCAGCTGCCGGGGTCCCCCGCTTCGTGCTGGGTCCCTCACCAGGTCTGTGGAGCTGACCTCCTCAGGCCTCTTTCATCTGCTCCCCTCGAGCCCCGGTGCTGTCGCTGTCGTCTGGGACCAGCGAGGGGAACGCCCATCATCTCGCCTGAAGTCGTGCTCTGACTGCAGCCTGTGGTCCTTAGTGGTCTCCTGCGCCGGTTCTTGCTCCCGTCTGTCCGTTTCTACGCGGGACTACAGCCAGAGTGACACTGTGAGGAGGAAGGCTCATCTGCACGATTCTGCTCCAACTCCCCTTTGATTAGCTCTGATTCACCAGGCACTGCTTGCTGCAGCCTCTACTTAGTTCATGCCAGTTCATCAGTACTATATTTTGTGTTTGCTTTGCCTGGAACATTCTTTTCCCATTCTCCTTGCCTAACTGATTTCTGTCTTTCGGTCTCAGTTTAAATTTTATTTCCTGTGACTGCTCCCTTGACTGCCTAGACTCGTGTGGTCCCTTTTGCAGTAGTTCTCATAGCATGTAACACAACACCTGTGTTTTCCTCAGCATTTGGCACTAGCTATTAGTTAATTGTAATTATTTAATAGCTGTATGTAATATTCCGTGAGGACGCCATGATATATAACATTCACTGAGGACGCCGTGATAACTGTGCTAAGTGTTTCCATGCTAAGTCTCGTCTCATCCCGCTTGCTCAAGGTCTCGTGGCAAGTAAGTAGGAAGGAATTCAAACCAGGTGATAGGATTCCAGAGCCTGTGCCGTGGAAGTATTAATAGACTACATTCCCTGGCCCTTCCCCCGCCGCTAGTTTACGTAATATTTGTCTTCTCTGCGAGATGAGGACAGAGATCGAGTCTGTGCTGTTGACCGCGACGTCACCAGCCCATAGCACGGACCTGACAAATACCACGTGCGTCCTTTGTAAATATTTGTTAACTGGCTTACTTAAAATCTACAGTCTATTTTGTATATTTTTGTAGGAAGTTCAGACCTTGAAAAACCCTTTGGGCTGTATCTCACAAAGTTTCTCTGCCTCCTTTGCCACCTCGTATTATATATATGAGCGGCTAGCATAAGCATCAGAGATGAGGCTAGTGTGTTGAATGGAAGGTACTGAGTTGCCTTGGGGATTCAAAGAAGGGGACACTAATTCTGGGCTTCCAAATGGGGGATTATCGGAAAGACTTCAGGAGGATGGGAGAACATTGGGATTAAAGAGTGAGGCAGGATTTTCGTGGTAGAAAGATAGAGGAGAGGAAGACAGAGGTGTGGCAAAATGACAGAAAAGCTAAGACTCGCAGACTCACAGACACGGCTAAACCAGCGATGTGCCACTGCCTTCAGGGTAGATGGGCTCTGCCGCCTCCTGGGAGCCCCACGTGCCAGACACAGCCCCGTAGCAGGTTCCCTTCCCTTTATCCTGACAACTCTGAACTACTTCAGAAGTATTTCTTAGAAGACTGCAGTTTAGAGGCTAATGCTGTGAATCCAAATGATAATCTTGCTGCTAATCCAGTGCATGAGAAGATAATGTGATTTAAGTTTTATGCCGTAAATATTCTTTAATATTTAAAAAATGTGCATTTATAAATTAATCTCTCAGATTCTACCCCCAAAGATTTTTTTCCAGTTACAGATTCTGAAACAGCCACTTGGGTTCTTCTGAACCTTGATCTCCCTAATCTCCCTTTGGGCACTGGAAAAACTAGTCAATTCACACATATCCTCATTGAGCTGTCTTTATGGTTAAGAAATCCATCACCATGTCTGTTAAAGATCACTCTCTTAGTATCTTGTTAGCATTTTAGAATTAAAATGGCATTTAATGTTTCACATTAGGTTAGCTGTTTAAGATGGGGAAAGTGATATTATTTCCATTTCATATGGGAATACACTTAATGCGTAGGGATGCTGTTTTCAGGATCAGTAAAAGAATTAGAATCAGAGCTCACTGCCTGTTGTTGGCCACTTCTTAGAAGCCGCTAAGAAGTAGCATCAATAAACAGGTACCCTTGACACCTAAGAATAGGTACGTGCACAAATTACTAAAGGTAGGTGAGTTCTATATACATATATATATACATCTTTCTTTATCTACAATCAAATTAGATACCACAGTCAACAGATGCATCAGAGAAATGCCATGTTTTGGAAGACGTGGAAACTAGCCTGTTATTTTACAGCTGGATGAAAACCCAACAGAGATGGAAAAGACGACATGTTGCACAAGGGCTTGTAGTGCCGTCAAAACATGAAGCCCTGAGCCTTGATTAACATGTGGGACCAAGTGTCCCTTTTCAAGTGGTCTGAAAGCATGTATAGATTGTATTTAATTTTTGCTACACTTTTTATTCAGGTAATGCATTTAAATTTTTTCTATCCACAAATAGCCAGTCCTTTACTGTTTTGAATAGTATTATTTGCAAAGCAGAAAGGCTTCCAGGATTTGCTGTGTTGGTGAAATGGAATGGAGACCTTTCAGGGCTTATAGTTCAGTTTTCTCCAGATTTTCCCTCTTAGAATCCTTTTAGCTCTGTGCAAACTTAATTAACCAGGCTTCTTTTAGTAAAAGGCGAAAGATTTATACGATCTGAAGAGAAACCAGAGTATAACCAGGCTTCTTTTAAAAAAGTCCCTTTCATTCTCATTTGGGTCTATGGTTATGGTTTTACTGTCTTTATATGCAAGACCGACAATCTCCCTGATCCCTCCTTTTCTTTTTCTTTAAAGGGTCTAACGTTTGAGGGCGGGAGGAACTGTTGACTAGATTTAGAGATGATAGCCTCATTCAAAACACGCGTGTGCTTTCGGGTGGCACGGGTACAGGTTTGTGCAAGGAACCCGTGTGCTGCCTGTGCCAGACAACAGTTTGAATCAAGACCTTGTCCTTTGAGCCTCTGTGAGCCAGCAGAGGAGGTTTGCAGCAGGAGCAAGAGGGTTTGTGTGGGGATAAGGGGCTTTATGTTCGCAGCAGAGCGGACAGTGATGGACACGGGGCACTTATAGGGGCCGCCGAGCTGAATTTGGCTTTGCTTTTCGTTCCAGCAATGAGCTAGGCTGGAAGTCCCGTGTGTCTGCACTATACGTGAGGCTTATGTAATTGAAAAGAGAGAGGTGTGTGTTGTAGATTCATTTCCTTGTTTTGTTTCTCCGTGGGTTTTATGCTTACGGAGGGTGGATGGGGAAATCTTGAATCATTGGGAAAATATCCAAAGGTTTCCAAATCAAGAAATAGAAATGTTTTTCTCTTAGTAGGCTTAAGGCCTCGAAAACTGACCTGTCCTGTGACCGCTTATGAACATCGACTCTCTTATGCTTTTTAAGACACATGTTACTGAAGAGTCCTACAAACCTGTTTTCCCTCGTAGATGGACGGCGACAGTGCCACAACGGACACTTCCCAGCTGGGCATCTCTGCGGACTACATCGGAGGAGGCCACTACGTGATACAGCCCCACGACGGTAGGAAAGCCACGAGTACAACACTGACCGGCAGAGGTGTATTACTGTCGTGTTCTAGGCTACTCTGGTCTTTACGGGAAAATTAGCAATCTCGTGTCGGCGGTCAGTGATGGCCTAAGAAGATGTACCAGGCTATTTTTATTAGATACAGTCTTCAAAAGAATGAGGAGTTCTAGAAAAGAATTCTATAAAAGTGTGCCTTTTAAAAACTACAGTTTCTTTAAAAATTTGTCCCTGACGACCTATTTAAGTACTGAGTATGGCACATTCTTTTTCAGTAGAAACAGTAAAAAATTCTTTAGAGGGTGAGTTGCCAGCTATTAAATTTCTGGTACTTATGAACAGACATATTTCTGTTTTTCCTTCACTACTAAGTTGGAAGTACGGCAGGTTATTAGGGTGGCAGCGTCACGTTGACCTGTGAGGGATAATTTACTTCTGTGGCATTCTGATGTGTAAGATGAAAACCACTAAGACGTATTTTTTTAGAAGGCAGTTGGGGGTGGGTGAGAAGTTACTTCATCCTAAGACAGACACACATAAAAATGTAACTTGAATCAGCTTAAGTGCTTTTCTTTTTTAATCCACATAAAGAGTGGGAAGTTTACTTACAAGATACTGCATTTAGTCATAAAAGGATATTACTGGTACTGTGAAAGCTTCAGTTATATCTAAATCTATATAATTCGAGAATACACTTTTTGTAAGAACGTTGGATCAGTGCTATAGCTTTGTTCAACAACTTAGCATTTATCTGACTGGGTCACTAATATTCAAGTCCAGTTTTTCCACTCCGTATGAATTGGCTGTGGATAAACATACAAATAACCTCCTAATCTAGCAATATGAAAGGGACCCTAGGTCACAGTCGGTACATTTTCTAGCTACGTTGTGTAATAAGTATTTCTGAGTATCCCTTCTGTGGAAGATGCTATGCCGAGTTCTAGGAAGTACGCAGAGCTGATCCCTGGCCTCAGGTAGCACACATCTAATAGGGAGGATGAGAAATAAAAAGAATTAATAAATGTGTCAGAGAAGACACAGAGAAACCCTGTGATATTTTGTGAAAGGACAGATCACTTCTGAAGGTGCTGTGGAGATGTTTTTGAGCCTTTTGGAGAATGGATAGGGAAAGTTTTGGTAGGCAGCGCTGAGGATAAAAGTATTTAAAGCAGTAGGTTTGAAAGTAAGGAATAGATTCGGTTATGGCTCTCATAAAACCGTGGAAAGAACTGCTATCCTACTCCCTAAAAATGACTGGAAAATGAACCAGGAGGTTCTGAATTGAGATTGTTTCAGGTAGTCTTCTCTGTGTTGAAGTAAACATCTTGAGAAACCTTAAACCCAAGTTAGTGTTCTCTTTCTAGATACAGAGGACAGCATGAATGACCATGAAGACACAAATGGTTCAAAAGAAAGTTTCAGAGAACAAGATATATATCTTCCCATTGCAAACGTAGCGAGGATAATGAAAAACGCCATACCTCAGACGGGAAAGGTAAAGCAGGGGAGACATTTTGCCCAGGTTTTTTTTTCTGGGGGAGAGGGGAATGGGAACGACACGAATATGTAGTTCCTGTGTGTAGTCAGCTGTTGTGTTCAGTCCTTTAGTCCCTGTGCTGAGCAGCCTCGGTTACTGAGCAGTATTCCACTTTCAGTTCCCGCAGCGCCCGGTGCCTCCCCACCGCCCCCCACTTGCCGCAGATGAAGTAGAGTTAAGACTCTTTTTTAAATATCAGGTTTGGGCATATGGAGTTATAACTTCTATAACGTTGCAGCAAGATTGGGTCTTTATTTTTTAAGATTTTATTTTTAAGTAATCTCTACACCCAGTGTGGGGCTCAGACTCAACAACCTCGAGATCAAGAGTCGCATGCTCCACCAACTAAGCCAGACAGCGGCCCCAAAACTGGGTCATTTCGGAATGATATGGAAAAACCCTTCCATTTGGAAGCACCTATTTTTATATAATCGCAAATATTAATATACATTTGAATTTAACTGGCAGGATTTTTTTTCAGTAGTTCTGTCTTGAGACAAACAATGATACAGACTTTTTTAGAACAGTTTTAAACCCTCATTGTCACTCTACTCCTCACTTGGTCTGAATTAAAATCCACACTTTTTTTTATATCATTTTATACAACGTAATAAACTTTCTTTGTGGCTTATAAAGTACTTGTGAAAGTAACAAAGATCACAAATATATTATTAAAATGTATTGCTAAGGGGGTCCCTGGGTGGCCCATTCGATTGAGCCTCTGACTCTTGATTTCTGCTTAGGTCATGATCTTGTGGTTTGCGAATTTGAGCCCTGCGTTGGGCCGCGCCCTGACAGCATGGAGCCTGCTTGGGATTCTCTCTCTCACTCTCTCTGTACCCCTCCCCTGCTTGCACGCTCTCTCTCAAATAAATAAACTTAAAAAAATGCATTGCTTAGCCTAGGAGTTCCAAAGTGAGAGGTCCTCCTTATGCTTTAAGGGGAAATAAATCACAACTGCTGATTATTGTTGAAATAGGCTAAGTCCGCACTACCTTAGCCCCCAGCCACATGCGGTTAGTGAGCACTTGAAATGTGCCTGGTCTGAATTAAGATGTGCTGTAAATGTGAAACATACTTCAGATTGTGAAGGCTTAGTATGAAAGGAAGAATGAAAGTATCTCCATTTTTAAAAATGGATTCTGTGTTTAAATGTTAGATAATAATTTGGATTTGTTGGGTTAAATAAAATCTCAAAATTAATTTCACCTGTGTTTTTGTTTTTATTTAAAAAAAATTTTTAAATGTTTATTTACTTTTGAGAGAGGAAGAGACAGAGTGCAAGCAGGGGACCGGCAGAGAGAGGGAGACACAGAATCCAAGGCAGGCTCCAGGCTCTGAGCTGTCAGCACAGAGCCCGACGTGGGGCTCGAACCCACGAACTGCGAGATCATGACCTGAGCCAAGTGGGACGCTTAACCGACTGCCCCTTACCTGTGTTTTTAAACTTAGCTACTAGAAAACCTCAAGTTATATATCCAGCTTGCAGTCTGTTACCTTGTCTGACTGCACTTATGCCGCTCTTGCTTACTTTTCCCCGGGACGTAAGTAACGTAGGCCTGGAGCTGGAAGCAGCAGGTTGTAGCAGGGACTGTGGCTGTTCCCGTTAGGAGTGACTTTGGAATTGTACGGTGTAATTCCTTAGAGTTTTACTTTGAAATCGCACACCCTTAAGAGGACGCTTGCTTTTATAGTGAGGTAGCAGCTGTGCTCCTTTTTGGTGGGCTTTTTAATAAACTCAAAGCCTGTCCCTGACACTTTGTATCTTCAGTAGTAAAAATGTCACCAGATGTCACTATTGTAAGCCTTACATGAAATCAGTGTTTTGTCTTTGTAAAATTTTCCCGTGTCCTTATTTGTGGAAATGCGAGGGCAGAGAAGTGACCCCGAAGTGTAGCCCGCAGTATGCTGTGCACACAGGGGACTGATCATCTTGGGACACCTGGTTGGTAGGTGCCCGTCTCTACGAGATGGTCAGGACGCCCAGCGGCCGCTTTTATACCTAAATTATACCTGCTCTCCATGAACAGTTGTCAAGGCTTCTCTTACTTGTATTCGAGTTTCTGTTCTCACTCCAAAGGTTGGAATTTTGATAGCACACAGTTTGTTAACATTATTAGCATGTATTTCAAAGATTAAATGTTAACAGCCATAAGCTGAAATTTATATTCTTCTGAATAGCCTTTTATTTTTGCAGGTTGTTAGGAAGGGGATGGGTACATTCCCTGCAAATTCACCTTTGGTTTTTCTCTTCAGATTGCAAAAGATGCCAAAGAATGTGTTCAAGAATGTGTAAGTGAGTTCATCAGCTTTATAACATCGGAAGCGAGTGAGAGATGCCATCAAGAGAAACGGAAGACAATCAACGGAGAGGACATTCTCTTTGCCATGTCTACCTTAGGCTTCGACAGTTACGTAGAACCTCTAAAATTATACCTTCAGAAATTCAGAGAGGTAAATAAAATGTCTTCTGTTACACTTTTAAGGAACTGAGGTAGACTGTTTAACTTTTTAAATGTTTTTAATTCATCAGAAGTATATAATCACTTCTATTACTGTATTTCAAAAGCAAGCCCATTCTGTTTTCCTTTACTACTCCTGACATCCTAGTTATGTAATGATTAGGAGCACGCACTCTGGATTCCAGCCACCTGGAGGCGGAGTCCAGCTCCACACACGTGACCCCTGTGACCCTGAGCAGATTATTTAAATAGCTTAGGCCTTGGTTTCCTGGTCTGCAAAGTGAGGTTTGTAACAATACCTACCTTACAGAGTTATTGAGAGAACTAAGTACAATAGTCTACGTACAGCACTTGGCTTGGCAGATCAGGAGCACTCAGTGGAAACACACGCTGTGATTACAATTAATGTAATAGAGGGAGCGTCTCAAAGCTTGGGGCCCTTTAGATAAGAAAAACAGGATTAGAACTGCCCCTTTTTATTGATTAAATTCTTCTGCGTTTCCTGTTGGGATTATCTTTGCCCATGGTATGAATTTTGTGGAAATACATTGAGGTCAGCATATTTATTTCCACACTACAACTTGGGTGTCAGAGTCACATTGCTTTCAGAATACTTCCTTCATAGCTTTAATGTTAGAACCCCATCAACTTAGTGATATGTGCATTGAATGGGTAAAAGTAGGAAGAGAACGTATTAAATTCTTCACAGTACTTTTCCAAATCTTCTGCATCGTAGAACCTTAGAAGTGATGGAAACTTAGAGCTCTTTGGTACTGTAATTTTGATTTAGGGATATGAAACTTTAAACTTGCTATTACAGTATTGTACTGCCCAGTCGGCTGAGAGCTATATATGTGTATATATATGGTAAAATCATTTATAGTAGATTTATGAGCTAAATATTTATAGTGTTTTTCAACAGACTACTTCATCTGTAAATAGACTTCTATTTTCCTTTTGATGTAGTGTAGAATTAGAATTTTATTTTTATCCATAAATATTTCAGATTTTCTAGGTCATTACTAACGCTGTCTTGGGATGATTACTGCTTATATAAAAAGTTAGCATTTTGAAGGGCCTTTTTGTATGTAATTAACCAGAAGTGTTAATACTCTGTGCAGTGTTTGTAATAATAGAAACTCCTAATTTTAGGAAACAAGCATTTTCATCTAGAAAACAGTGTCTTTTGAATGCCAGTGATTACTTTTTTGATTTGTCCTTCCCCAGGCTATGAAAGGAGAGAAAGGAATTGGTGGAGCAGTCACGACTACAGATGGATTAAGTGAAGAACTTACAGAGGAGGCATTTAGTAAGCAGTGTTACGATACGTTTATGCAGCTGAATTTGTTCTTATAAGCCATGTAGTTCATTAGCAGGGATTAATACTAAATGTGGGGGTGCTTTGGGACTGTCAGCCCTGAGTATTTGGACACAGCACTACTTTAAATAGTTCTTTAGTTCATGCCCTTTATATTTGAAGTCAGTGAGGTATAAGTATAGAAATTGAAATTCTGCAGACATTATAATCTTTCACCCATAGTTCTGATTTCAGTAGCCTCTGGTTTTTAAGATTCACGTGAGATAGGAATATTGAGAATTGTAGTTTGTAATATAAAATCTGTGACTTAAATAAATTTGAACTGATGGGTTTGTTTTTAAAAAAAAATTTGAATAGGGGCACCTGGCTGGCTCAGCGGAATGTGCAACTCTTAATCTTGGGTTTGGGAGTTTGAGCCCCATGTTGGGTGTACAGATTACTTTAAAGTAAAAAATTTGGAGGGGGACGGGGTGCCTGGGTGGCTTAGTTGGTTAAGCGTCCAAGACTTCGGCTCAGGTCATGATTTCATGGTCCATGAGTTTGAGCCCTGTGTCTGGCTCTGTGCTGACAACTCAGCGCCTGGAGCCTGCTTCAGATTCTGTATCTCCCTCTCTCTCTCTGCCCCTCTGTCTTTCTCTTGCTCTCTCAAAAACAAATAAGCATTAAAAACCTTTTTTTAATTAGAAATAAAATATCTTTAGAAAAAAACCTTGAATATCGTCTTACGGGTGAAATAAGAGGTCTCTGGTGACTCAGTGTCTCATATGAAATTTATAGGCATCTGTTCTCCTTTTGTGACTGCTTAGTTACACATAAGCTTGCCTCCCAGTCAGGCCGCATGGTGTCCATCTACTTATGAATTAGAAACTCCATCCAGTCTCGCTGAAGATTTATACACATGGGCAGTTAGTTCAAGTACATTTAATTTTATTTTAAGTTTATTTATTTTGAGAGAGAGAGTAGGGGAGGGGCAGAGAAAGGGAGAGAAAGAGAGAGAGAGAGAGGGAGGGAGGGAGGGAGAGGGAGAGAGGGGGGGAGGGAGGGAGAGGGAGAGAGGGAGGGAGAAAGAGAACCCCAAGTAGGCTCCATGCTGCCAGCACAGAGCCCAGTGCAGGGCTCCAGTTCACAAACTGCCAAAATCAAGAGTCAAACACTTAACTGACTGAGCCACCCAGGCACCCCAGCTCAAGTACATTTTAGAGAAATGAAGGTTCAGAAAATTGAAAACCGCAATAGGAAAAATGTAGTTTTTAGGGAGCTTTTTCTAAAATGCTAAATTTGGGAGTTTATGATTTTGTCCACGATTATGTTGATTAGTAGCAGAATTGTAACGAGACATTAATGGCATGACCTAAGGGTCAGAACAAGAGAGTAGATGTAATTATTTTCCTACTTTAACTTTTTTTTGTCTTCCAGCTAACCAGTTACCAGCTGGCTTAATAACTGCAGATGGTCAACAACAAAATGTTATGGTTTATACAACGTCATATCAACAGGTAAAATACAGCCTTCTCTGGGTTTGAACTGCACTGGTCCACTTATATATTTATTATGTTTATTTTTGGAGATAGAGAGAGACAGCGTGCAAGCAGGGGAGGGGCAGATAGGGAGAGACACTCTCAAGCAGGTTCCACGCTGTCAGCACTGAGCCCAACGCAGGGCTTGAACTATAAACTGCGAGATCATGACCGGAGCCAAATTCAAGAGTCGGACACTTAACCAACTGAGCCCCCCAGGCGCCCCTAAACTATTCCACTTATATGCGGATTTTTTTTTAAATAAATAGTTTATTGTCAAGTTGGTTTCCATATAACACCCAGTGCTCATCCCCACACGTGCCCTCCTCCATGCCCATCACCCCCCTCCCCCCATATGCGGATTTTTTACAGTACTATAAATGTGTTTTCTCTTCCTTATGATTTTCTTAATAACACTGCCTTTTTTCTGATTTTGTTGTAAGAATATAGTCTATAATACATATAACATAAAATATGTGTTAATTGATTTTATGTTATCCATAAGCCTCTGGTTGACAGTAGGCTGTTAAATTTTGGGGCCAGTCAGAAGTTCTAGGAGGATTTTCAACTGTGCTAGGTTGGCACCCCTAACCCCTGTGTTATTCAGGGATGAACTGTGTTATTAAGGACCCGATAAAGAAGGTTGTTAAAAAACCACTTTCTCAAAATATATAATTGTGTATTCTCTTACAGATTAAAAATAGGTACACATATATTCCTATCTGCATAGGTTTCTAGAGAGATGAATTAAGAAATTATTAAGTAGCTCCCTTGGGTAGAGGGAATGGAGATTTGAGAGTGGGAAGTAGATTTGTTTTTCATTGTCTGTTTTTATTCTTTAAATGTTTATAATATGTTGTTTGAAAAAATTTTTTTAAGTTCTGCTCAATTTAAATTTTCTAATCTTAGATTTCTGGTGTTCAACAAATTCAGTTTTCATGATCTGAAGAAATGATGGAATGGGGAGTGGAGAGAAGCAAGTCTGTACGATTCCGGAACAGAGACATTAGAAGGAAATGACTGGGGGAAAATGTCTCTTTGTATATTAAATAGCTGTAATGTAGCTTCCTGATGCTTGACTAATTGAGGTGTTAATTCTGACTTGAGAATCTTTTTCATGAATGATTTTAAAGAAAAATTTGGATTTTAAAGGTATTAAAATATTTTTGTTTTGTACGAGAGTTTGTCGCTCTGTATGACTCCTGTATGCGTTGTATATTGCAATTTATTACTGTCAGATTTGTAGACAGTTTCTTATTTTCATATTGAATCATGTTACTTTTGTAATTCAAGTAAGCAGCTGGGTTAATTCATGATGTTTGCCCTTTTAATAAAATATAAGGGTAGAGTTCATTTTGAATGCAAGTTGCCTTTATTATAAATTTGAGTTTGTCTTGGTTATATAATATCTTGCATGGTAACCTAGCTAGATTTTTAGCATTTGCCATATTTATTAAAATTAATTTTTTGTAAAACATTCATAGCTTAAGCAGCACCATTTTTTAAAAAATGTAATTGAAAAAAGTTAAGTGTGAATGCAGAAGCAAATATTGTCTGCCCTATTAAACGTGGTGCCCTTTAACAGTGTTCACACTGTTCGTTGTGCCTGTCTAGATAGTTTTAGTTTATTGGAGCTTTTGTTAGGACTAGGTTTGGTTTTGAGCTACATTATGATGAATGTTGGAATTCATTTCAGTTTAGTGTGGTCCTAGTGCTCTCGAAAAGGTGCCCCTTTCATTTTTATATGATTTTTCCAAAGCATATCTTCAAATACTAGAGTATCCTCTTCCAGAAGAGGAATTTTATAGTCTGATGGCAAATGTCCTCATTTTACCTTTTTAATTGAAATGTCAAGTTTCACTCTGTTACACTCTGGGAACCAGGAAGCGTCAGACACCCTCACGTGTACCCAGACCTCTTCCTGCATGGGTGCGTGAATGTGGTGAAGAAGAGTGAATGCGGCGGGCGGACGGACGGACGGACGCTGTGAAACAGAAGCCCCAGCTCCAGGTGCGCCTCCGTCTCGATCTTTGCAATAAACTGAACGTAGTTTAACTTTGTATAATTTAGTCCTATGTGCTCAAGCTGTACCTTTTTTAGAGTGAGGATTTGTATTTTCTCCTTTTTGTTGGTAACTGAACTGTGGCTTCGTCTTGTTTACTATCAACAACTGCTACTGTATAGTTTGTCTAAGAGGCAGTGTGAATGTCAACTCGGAGGGCCACTCACAGTGATAAGCGCACAGCGGTCTCACAGGCACAGGCTGGACCACAGGCGGAACAGAAACAGTGACTTGGCCAGGAGGCTTGGGGGGCACATCTGGACTGACCCGAGGTCAACAATTCCCTCACTACCCTCCCATTTAAAAAATAATCTTCATTACAGAAAATTCAAATAGGCAAAAAAAAAAAAGGAGGGGCATTAAGCAAAAGCAACTCTCATCCTACTATGCCGAAATAACCGATGTTAATATTTTGGTAAATATCATTTGTCCTTTTACTTTGCTAAATATGTATATTTTTATAAAAATGGGCTCATACTTGCATACTGTTTTGTAACCTGCTTTTTTCACTTAACAATATATTGTAAACATCTTTCCCAGGTCATTACATAGTCTTTTATTTTTATTCATTTATTCTGTTGTATGGCTGAACCGTAATTTATTTAATCCTCTATTGGACATTTTGGTTATATGCATCTTTTCACAGTTATAAACAACACTTCACTGAATCTTGTGTACATCCATGACTGTTTTCTTAAAATAAATTCTTAGACGTAGAACTGTTAGGTTAATAGACACAACAATTTAAGGCCTTTGATACTTCTGTGTTAATGTATTTATGAAATAGTTTCCATTTGATCCAGGCAGTATATCACTCTATAACTGATAAAAGCCCTTGGTCTTTGGTTATCAGACTGTTTCTCTAAAATTAAAGATGACAACTTTAAGACTTGTATCAATACAAACCGAAAGAAATGTCTGACTGTAGCGACCGGTTGGTAGTGCTGAAGCTGAGGTGAAATCAGGTCAGCCCCGGGTCCCGCGGCCTCCATCCTCTGGAAGAGCCCTGGCCTGCATGTGCTCCGTGTGAGGCTCCTGCGTGCGTGGGAGACGCGGCGGTGGCTCCTTCCTTGGCCCGTGGTGCGTTTAACTAAATGTCACGTTTTCTTCCCCTGGAACTTCTCGACTAGATAGGCTCGTACATTAACCTGGAAGTGTTTTCTTTACAACTCTGTAGATACTGACTTTATGAGGATTTAAGAGAGAACTGGGCTTTAGGGACTAGAAGGCAGGATGTTAGGAGCCCATCTTCCCCCTCACCACCTCGTTATAAGAGATGCAGGAGTCCAGAGAGCATTTTTTTGTCACCTTCCCAATGTCATAGACTTGGGTATGATGATGTGTTAAGCTATTTATTTGTGTTTCTCTTCCACAGTGTAATATCTATGCAGTATTTTCTTCAAAACCTGCCTCGTTGCCTATTTTCTAGATTGCCTCAGTGGGGCGAAGGAGTGCCAGTTACCTTTAATAATGCCAACTGAACACAGTTATGAGGGCCCAGCTAAAAGGATCTCTAGCCGTATCAGTTAAACATGACAGATGGGGAAAAAAATGTCTGCCATTTACCAAGAATAAAACCTTGAGTACAAGATCTTTAAAAAATACTATTTTCTCTTTAGGGTAAGTCATTCTGTCAATAATCCAAAACAAGACCATATTTGTTGCTTTATGTGATGGAATACATTTCTGAATCACTCACATGACCCTGGGTAAGATCTATGCCAAAAGCTAGGCTATCCTATATATTTTTGGTTTCTCTGAATTAGACAACTTAACATTTATGTAATAGTTTATATATACTGACTGTAAACTCATTAAGTCCCAGTGTGCTCATGAGTAAGAAAATAGAACAATCCCAACTAATACTCCGTTGTAATTCATGGTTTCTTTCAGACCTGCAAGTATTCCTTGCTCACGTCACCAGGTTTAGCTTCCTTTTGCTTGTTAGGCTCCAATCACCCTGATCTCTTGGCTCCTTGTGCTAAGTGCCTTTGCCTCGACTGCCCTCCCCGCCACAGCCTTAAACACGTATACTTCCCTCTGCCTAGAACATTCTTTCTCTTCTTGTGCCTGGCTAAGTCTCAGCCTTCAGATCTTAGTGTAAACTCCATCAGGAAAGCCTTTTAAACTTGTTAAACCGTATTACTCACCAAATGCAGAAAATGTCACCACCCCAAACTGAGTAGGTTTGTACACGGCCTATATGTTGGCTGGTACAGCCTCTTAGACATTTCTTTCAAGACTGGGCTTCTTTTATACCTGATTTTAAGGATTTTAAAACCATAAGGCAGAATCTTCAAATCACGGGCCACAGATGACACGGGGATGGATCCATTTCTCTGGCTGCTGGCATCACCTTGCAAGTGATGGTAAGCTTGCCTAACCACACAGTCCCAGCTGTCCCTGACCTATTCCAGAGACAGTTTTCTTTTAGGCCGCACAGTGGATTGATACCTGTGCAAGGCAACGTATTGTAAACACTCCATTGCCAAGGTTAATGCCAGCAAGCGTGCCAAATAACGGCAATAAAATACGTACTGGCTCTGGCTGTAGAAACCTAATGGCCATATAACTAGTTTTAGGGGTGGGAATTACAGGGTGATTGGTAATTCCTCCGTCTTTCACAGACATACAGAAGATTGCAATATTCTGACAGTGCAACTTACACTGTTGGCTCTTGCAGGTATAATTTAGGTCTTCCTTGATGGTCCTCTAAGAGCAAACTTTAAGTCTTTCTTTGGCACCTATTTTCTAGGGCTCAATTTCAGAGTACATCTGAATGAAAGATATTTCAAAACTTTAAGCACCAGGCACTTGGTTGTGAAAACACATTGCGGGACAACTGGGTGGCTCAGTCGGTTATGCAAACCACTTTGGCTCAGGTCATGATCTTGTGGATCAAGAGTTGGAGCCCCACTTCGGGCTCTGTGCTGACAGCTCAGGGCCTGGAGCCACCTTTGGATTCTGTGTCTCCCTCTCTCTCTCTCTCCCCTTCCCCTGCTCGTTCTCTCTCTCTCTCTCTCTCTCTTCTCTCTCTCTCCCCCCAAAAAATATTTTTTTTTTAATTATAAAGAAAAAGAAAACGCAGTGCTAGGCAAAGACCAGTCGTAACAGGTGGTGCCTTACAGCCAGGGCAGGTATGCCAGGGGGCCCGTTCTCGTATACACAATGCCCAACATTCGATTTGCAAGAAACCAAGACCAAATCCTTCTTTCAGACCAAAGCAATCTCTAATCAAAGAACAGAAAGAAATATTCTAGCAGACAGCCATTTAAAGAAATGGCAGAGCCATTCCTCACTTTGGAGGAAAAGTAGAACTTTAAAAAAAGTGGTTTCTTGGTGTACATTCCCAACCTTGTACATAGCAGCGCCCACATAGCACCAGAGTGCCATCCTGTGGGGCAGTGTGACGGCGAGAGCTAAGCAACCTATAGTTCTTCGTGGAGCACAAGCTGCCATGTGAGTAGGAATAGTCACATCAAGGGCAAAGGGAAACAGATTCTAGCTTAGACTTCATTTCTGAGAGTAAGGTAGTCTACATACCCTCAATGGCTCCTGGTTCAAAAAAACCAAATGCTGGGGGTGCCTGAGTGGCTCAGTCGGTTAAGCATCCCACTCTTGATTTTGGCTCAGGTCATGATCCCAGGGTCGTGGGATCGAGCTCCACATTAGGCTCCACGCTGAGCATGGAGCCTGCTTGAGAGTCTCTCAATCTCTCCCTTTCTCCCTCTGCCCTGCTCCCCTACTCATGCTTGCTCACGCACTCTCTCTCTCACTAAAAACAAAAAAACAAAACATGCAAATGCTGAAAAGAACAAATTATTAGGTGAAATATTTAAAATATGTCACCACACTGACATGAAAGTAAGGCAAAACTCCACAAAAATGAATTGAAAACAGGAAAGCTGTGAGGTAAACCCACACCAAAGTCTGCTTTTGCCCCAAGAGTTCTGTTGAACTCCGGAACTAATGTGTGTCGGGGGGGAGAGGGGAAAGGACATAAAGCCTAAGGGTCACCTAGGCTGGAGACTGGTAGGACTGTCACAATGGGCAGCAAGGAACCTTGCCTGTCTCAATTTTGTGCGGGTGGCAGGGGATAAATAATGACTCCCCCCTCAAATTCATAATCACAGGCGAGCACTCAAGGTTTGTGATCCGAAATCGTACCTGCAAGCTTGTACTTTATAAAGTGCTCTCAGGGATGCCTGGGCGGCTCAGCTGGTTAAACGTTCTACTTTTGGCTTTGGCACAGTTTGTGAGATCAAGCCCTGTACTGGGCTCTGTACTCACAGTGTAGGGCCTGCTTGGGGTTCTCTCTCCCTCTCTCTCTGCCCCTCCCCAGCTGTCTTTCTCCCACTCAAAATAAATAAATAAACATTTAAAGTGTTCTCACATTGGTAGTCCGTGGGTACCTGGTAGAGCAAACACACTCCTGTAAAGGTCTCAATTTTAGTCCATACGTCAAATAATCCCTATTTTCCACCAAAAGTAAGTTTAAAAGAAAATGGTACCATAAGTGAAAAAAAAACCAAAAAACCACCTTATACAAAAGACAATAGAATCACCCATGAAGACTCTTAATATTGGTATCAACAAATAAAAATTGATGTGTAAAGGAATAGAAGCATGGAAATATTAATAAGGAGGAAAAGAATAGACAAAGAACAAACAAGATTTATAAGCCAAATAGAACTCATAAGAAAAAAATAATTGAAAATTAAAAAAAAAATAGAGGAAGGGAGAAAAGAATAAGAAAATGGGAGATGAAAGACAAGGCAAAAAGTGGGAAGTGGAAAAATAAAAGAGATATTTATGATGAGGACTCAGAAATAAATCCAACTTATATTTGTAATCACTATAGATAGAAATGTACTTAACTACCCAGTTAAAAAGGAAGATTTTCTTTGGCCTTATCTTTGCATTGTCTCCTGCAAATGCAAAATAATAAGGTCAAAGAAGATCTAAGATATTCAGATAAACACTAACCACAATATTGCTACAGTAACAACAACGACAGAAGGCAAGGAGTATTTATAGAGGTAAGAGTCACTACATAATTATAAAAGGTTTAATTCATTAAGGAAGATCCAAAAATTCTAAATTAGTGTGCATTTAATAATAAAGGCAAAAGAAAAAGCAAACACAACTTCATGAAAGAGAGAAACCTATTAATCATAATGAGATCTTGAGACTCTTCTGTAAGTAAGTCAAGTATAAAGTAAATCGGTAAAGAGAAGCTCTGTACAGCACGACTGACTAGGCTGATCTAATGGACACTACACTCAACAACTGGGAAATGCACACTCTTTTCAAGTATACATGGAGCATCTATGAAAATTGATCACATAAA